CCCCCCCCCCCCCAGATATCATATCTTACAGTCCCTTGCCGTGGAAATTCCTTGAGCAAACCCGCGTGTTGCCCCCCCCTTCCATCTCTCATCTCGCACGTCATAAAATACTCAGCTCAGAAGAACAACCATAGCAAGGGAAACAAACAACCAAACGAAAGCGATTATTGTGATGCGTTCAGGCAGGCAGGCAGGCATGCAGGCGATTCCTCGACTCCTCCGCTTCACGCCCCGCTCCAAGCAAAAAGAAAAAAAACAGCATGCGCGAGAGAGGAGCCGCACTTAACTTAACATCGGGCTGGAAAACCCAAAGCGGTGAAACAGCACTGTAGTCGTGAGCCAATCACAATCACGATGCTGGCGCCTTTCCTTTTCCTCGCAGTCCTCCATGCCACCACCACAAAACAGCGAAACACGTCTTCCTCAAGAAGGAAGACCTACAACAAGCGAGTGCATCCGAACAAAGAAATAGGACCCCCCCCCGCACCCCCGTATAGGCTACTGGAAACCCGACTGTGGCGTGCCTTTGCCCTGACTCGGTCGAGTAACAAGGAATCGAAACGGTCATGCAAGCTCAATGTTGTCCGAGTTACCCTCCAAATACATTGCAAATGACATGCCCCTCCACCACTCGAATTTCGCAAGCAGTATACGTCACGCCAGTCCCCCTCAAGGGACAAGCATTGACAGCATTTCGAGATTTGGAGCCTCCCAACAGCCCTCTCCATCCTTACCCCTTCTTTCCTCTCCTTTTCCCGCCCCCCGTCAATGCCAGCGAGGAATCTAGTCCTGAACTGGGGCGTGAGGTCACAGTTGCCAAATCATCGCCATCGCGCCAAAATTTCCGGCGAGCTAGCCCTATCGTTAACCGACAATGAGCAAACGTTACCACAAATTTAAGATTAGCGATGCAAACAAAGCAGCCGGCACACAAACAACACAACGATCGCCCACGTACAAGATCATGACGATCATCGTCCCTCCGTCCACCATAGCCACCAAGGGCCGTCACGTACACCCATACAGACTTGGTCCGTCAGTCATCCACACAAACGGGGAATGAACGATCGCTGTCGCTGTCCATGTAAATCTGTCGCATCTTGCTCTTCCCTCCTTCATTCCCTCAAGCTCATGCGATGGGAGCCGGCGCCGGCTCGCGAGGCTCAGCAGCGTTGTTCATGGCGCGGCGCTTGGTTCGCAGGTTAGGCGTGACTGGGGTGGTGAGAGGGGCGGTGGAAAGCTGAGCGACCTCGGGGGGCGCGCTGTTCCACATGATCGGCTTCGCCTGAGAAGAATTAAAAGACGAAAAACAGGCCGGGGGCATCACACAAATAACAGTACAGCACGAAAAATCAATCCATCCATCATTTATCCTGCTGGACTCACATTAACTCGTCATCTGCGTGGATGGACATCATGTGTTGTGTTTTGGCCACGAACAAAACAAAAAACTCAGTAAAACGTAGAATCGGCGGTACAAGCAGTTTCGCAAACAACATGGGCTGATGGCTCAGGTCGCAATTGACTGCCGAAATAGCGTTAGTAGTCCGGTTACAGCAGCGGTACCACGCGATGTTGTCATCACAATCACCACACAGGGCATGTCGCTAAACCGAGCCCAGCACTATCGTGGTGTTGTAGTGTCCTAATTTACTGCTGTAGCGAGGGCGTACCTTGAAAGACATGCCACCATCGTCATGCGAGCGGCGCCTGAGCTCGGAGATGGACCTCCTCTCAGCGGCGGCGGCGGCCTGTTCTTGCTCCCTCCTGCAACCGTTCGAGACCGTTCGAGACCGTTCGAGACCGTTCGATATGACAGCAGTGACGCCATAGGGGAAAAGTACATGGCAGGAAACACGCACACAACAGAACCGACCTTGAGAAAAAAGCGACTCGACACTCGAATACCCAGCCAGGCGGCGGATCATACACCAAATAAACTCTACCAGGAAAGTATTACACAATGTATAAGCGTTTGCTCGAAAGGCGGCGACGAAAACGTGTTGAAAAACAAATGAGCATCAACGCCCCCTTCGGACACATCACCTATTTCAGAAAGACGACAAACGCTTTCGACGCCTTTGTACTTTCGAACCCAACAAACCGGACAGGCGCGCAGCGCAAAAATTAGAATCGTTGCTACATGTGTAGCGACAAGCGTTGCGGGTCCAGGGGGAAGTTTTTCAGTGGTTTGCATACGATGCTATTGATGTGCTCACTTGACGCGCTCCTCGTGAGCTTGCCTAGCCTGGTTCTCCTCGTCCCACTTGGCACGACCCTCTGCACGTGCGCTAGAGTGCAACACCATCTGCACAGGAAAGGCCGGAGAGAGAAAGAGGGGGAGAGAGAGAGAGAAAGAGAGAGAGGACGGAGGGGTAATGAGGGGCGTCAAAACTCAACAAGAACCAAAACGAGAGGCAAGCGATGCCATGACGGTAAAAGCGTGAACGGAAAGCAAAACAGAGGCACACTCAACACCAATTCTCTCCATGTTCCAATACGACAAAATGAAAATAAGGTGTGTGGTTCATGTAGTTATTCATGTTTCAGTTCTTGTTCTTGCAGAGACACAAAAGAGCTCAGAAAAGACGAGAGACCAAAGATAAAACAAAAAATGCGACGAGTCCCCTAGAGCACAAAGATGCTCTGCTCACCTCAACGGGCTGCGTGAGGGATACCTCGGTTCTCTCGGGGTACAACTCGGGCTCGAAAGTAGCGGCCGGTAGGGGGAGTGCGATCACCTGGGGAGGGATAGATGTCACGGGGAAAACAAATGTGCCCGGAGCACGTAAAAAAAAAAAAAGTCATGAGAAATTTGTGGGTAGTACCGAACGACATGGGGGCTATCTAGCTGTCGATGCTGTGGTCAAGGCAGGCGGTGCATGGGGTAAGACAGACCCACACCGCGTACTGCTCGACAACAAAAACACACCAACATAGGGAAGAGTGCCACAGGAAATTCGGGGGAAGCACCGACGTCGGAGCTATCTAGCTGCAGACGTTCACGGGGCAAGACACACCCCGCTTGCACTTTAGCACTCACTCCCGCAGCAGGAAAAGAAAAAAAAATCAACCTGTAAAGCGGGGTCCTCTGGTCTCACTCACCTCCGCGGCACGACGGGCCCTCTCCTCCTCCTTTCTGACGCGGTCTTGGAACTCCTGAGCGGCTTTTTCGTGGCGGGCCTGGCTGGACAGGCAGAACTCCGACGTCTCCGTCAGGGGGCGGTCGCTGGGCTGAGGGCAGAAGCCGTTCGAGGGAGCCGGGAGCGGCCGGGCTCTCACGCGGGCAGCTGCGTCTTCCTGCGTGCCGCAGAACAAAGAAAAAGAAAACGAGAAAAAAAAAAGCGTTTGTATGCATACAGTACGCGACCGCCCTTACGAACCCAGGAGTTAAGCAATTGAGCCTAAAAAAATAGACTAGAATGATAAATAAATCGAGCACCATTTGCGAGCTCGGTCAAGGAGCCCTACACCAAACCCTGTATAGCTACAAGGCTGTTCGGCGGCTACGCCGCCACGCTGAGAGAAGCGTTCCGCAAGACGCCCGTGATCGGCGTTCGTTGTTATTGGACGGCCGTCTCTTGTCGGTGTATCTGCCTTGTCAATACGCAGTAGCATGTTGCGATACCTATAAGGGGTGGGAAGGGATGCGTCCCGCGCAGAGTCCGCAAACAAATTGGACCCGCGCCAAACACGCGCACTGGCGGCAAGCGTACATGATGCAACAACCGCAAAGACACGAGTGACGAACGGCCGTAGGTTCGGAGATGAGGGGCTCACAGACTGACTGAGAAGGAAACCTCACGGAGTCCTCAATGAAGTGAACAAGTACGCTCGAACTGCATCGCACGGAGTAGTACTACAGTGCATGAATTGACTTGCATCCGCTCCCTCCTGGGGTGCCAAGCAAGCAGCAACCGCTTTCTCTCTCGCCTGGACCGCATTTTGGAACATGCCAAAGTCCGACGTGTCAGGGAGCAGACGAACTACTAGACTACTGTATGACGTATGACAGTATGACAGTATGACAGTATGACAGAATGTATGTATGTATGTATGTATGTATGTGATGGATGGGGAGCAGAGGAAAGAGGAAAGCGACAAACGGTTCCTCGAGCGAGCGAGAGATAGCGTGGCAGGGAAAACGAGAATGGTCAACCAAGTGGAAACGAAAATGGGAATGGTCAACAAAGTGGAAACGAAAACGGGAAGGAACGATATCCTGCCGTGGGACATGTGAAAGGGAGAGACAGGCTGCTGTTGTTGTTGTTGTTGTTGTTGTCGTAAGAGCCGACGACAGGTTGATGTATGGGAGGGGGGAGAGAGTTTGGCATGAACAATGGAGTGCTGTGGGAGAGTACGAGAAGACCCGAAATGGAGCCCTCTCTCTCAGCGTAGATCCGGACAAACGAGAGCCGCAAAAAAATGTGTGTAGGGGAGGACAGAGCGACAGACGTCGTGTGATCGGAAAGCCGGAACGACCGGCCCATCCAGTCAAAAGATCGGAACTAGATTGCCTGTGTTTGCTCGGAAGAACCTCTGCTTGGAGATATTGGATGGGCCCAAACTGAAACAAAATGCACACAACAGAGTTTACAGGGAGCCACGCATGTATTGCAACACGCATGTATTGAGAAAGCACTAGGCTGCACTTTTTTGTTCTGTTGGAAAGAACAGCGCGTCGTCGTGTATACGCCCCAACCGAAAACAAAGGAGCTACATGTGAGCGTAGGGCGGCTGTCTGCGCGGGGCACGAAAGGAAAGGGGAGTGCCGAAAAGCTGTGTGCAGCAACAGGAACGAATCGCAAACATTCCCCGGAAAGAATCGGGGAGAAAATAGAGA